CCCTAAAAACAACATATTTGCCACATAGCCACATAGCACCCTAAAACAACATACCTGGCACATAGCACGTGACCCTAACAACATTTGCCACATAGCTGACAAAAAACAACATACCTGGCACATAGCAGATGACCCTAAAAACAACATACCACATAGCACGACCCCAAAACAACATATTTGCCATACACATGAAGAAAACAACTACCGCCCCAAAACAACATATTTTCCACATAGCACGTGACCCTCAACAACAACATAACCACTAGCAATGCCCCAAAAACAACATATTTCCACATAGCACATGACCCCCAAAACAACATATTTCCACATAGCACATGACCCTAAAAACAACTCCACATGTGACCCTAAAGACAACATACCTGGCACATAGCACATGACCCCAAAACAACATATTTGCCACATAACAGATGAATCTAAAACAACATACCTACCACGTAAGCATGACCCCTAAAACACATATTTGCCACATAGCACGTGACAACACCACATTTATATTTGCCACATAGCAGAACAACATATATACACATGACCCAAAACAACATATTTGCCACATAGCAACCCTCAAAAAAACATATTTGCCACATTGACAAACAACATATTTAGCAGCACCTGACCCCAAAACAACATATTTGCCACATACACGTGACCCAAACAACATATTTGCCACCACTGCATCAACATACGACCCCCAAAACAACATATTTTCCACATAGCACGTGACCCTAAAGACAACATACCTGGCACATAGCACATGAGGAGCAGCACGGTACCGGAGAGAGCGAAGGCCAACATGCCGTTGTTGAGAGGCAGTTTTATAAACCGGTTCCAATCCCATGGCTCTTCGTTCTGTATGTTGGGGCAGATCTGTCTCCTGGAAAAGTATGTTGGGTTATGTTGCGTCGGTGATTTTTTTTGTGAATTTTGACGTAATATTTTTAATGTTGTTCGTTATATAATATAGTTTGATGATGATTGGAAATGTGGAGATTTCAAAGAAGGAAAAAGTATATATATATATATATATATATATATATATATATATATATATATATATATATATATATATATATATATATATATATATATATATATGTGTGTGTGTGTGTGTGTGTGTGTGTGTGTGTGTGTGTGTGTGTGTGTGTGTGTGTGTGTGTGTGTGTGTGTGTGTGTGTGTGTGTGTGTGTGTGTGTGTGTGTGTGTGTGTGTGTGTGTGGTGTGTGTGTGTGTATTTTTTCATTTACTTATTATTTTTTCTCTTATGTAGAATATTAACACACACTCTCTCTCTCAGTTTCTTTATCTTTCTCTCTCTCTCTCTCTCTCTCTCTCTCTCTTCCTACACCCGCCTCTCTCTCTCTTCTTCTCTGGTTCTCTCTCTCTCTCTCTCTCTCTCTCTCTCTCCCTACACCCACCTCTCTACCTTTTTTTCTCTCCTCCCCCGTCTCTCTGCTCTCCCTCCATCCCTATCTTCCTTTCTCTCTCTATCTTCTCTTTCTCTCTCCCTTTCTTTACTTTATCTACCCTTGTGTGTTTTAATTACTCTCTGTTTGTAATTATCTTTGATGGCTATTTTTACTGTTCCTCAATTTTTGTCTGTCTGTCTGTCTCTCTCTGCTGTGTCTCATTCTCTCCTACTCTCTATCTACACTTACACCCACCCTAACCCACCACCACTAGCCCACCGTACACACACCCATCCAAGCCCCCTACCCCCCCTCACTCCTCCCCCGCTCACATCCCATTCTCTCGCTCTCTCCATCTCTCTTCTCTTGCAAAATCATACCATCCTCGCCCCCCCCACTCTCACAACCCACCACCTCACACCTCTCCCTCACTCTCATACTCCACCCTCACCCCACGCCGCCATCACCCTCTTTTTTCACTCCCCCCTCACCCTCACATTACTCCTCTCCACCCCCTCCACATCTCACCACTCATCACCCTCTTTTTCACTCCTCTCCTCATCCACCCCTCCCACATCACCCCCCCCCCACCCCACCATCACCCCTTTTTCACACTCCCCACACTCTCACTCCTCACCCCTCACCTCTCCCCACCACCCCCACCCCAGCATCACCCTCTTTTTCACACCCTCTCCCTCCCCTCACCCTCACGCTCCTCCCCCCCCCCCCAACCCCCTCTCCCCCCATCACCCCCTCCCCTCCCCCCCCCACCCCCACCCACCTCTCACCTGAAGAACAAGAACAGGAAGAACGCCCAGAACAGAACGGCAGCGACGATGCAGGGCGTTCTCCACTCCGGGAAGAAGCGGAATGGAATGTTCTCGACGTCGCGGGCGTTCTCGAGAACACCGCGGTCAATGGGCGTGAAACCGAGGACCTTCACCAGCGCCGACACTCGCTCACGCCCACGGCTGCTGTTGCTGCATATGGGGACCTGTGGGCGAGGGAGAGGGAGCGGGTGAGAGTGAGGGGGGTACCTGTATTTTTTAATGGCTATCATTTATATGTATGCACACACACGCACATACACAAACACACAAACACACGTGTATACATACATACATACATCATACATATATATATATTATAATATATATATATATATATATATATATATATAATATATATATATATATATATATATATATATATATATACTACATATATATATATATATATATATATATATATATATATATATATATATATATATATATATATATAGAATATATATATATATATATATATATATATATATATATTATATACATATATATATATATATATATATATATATATATATATATATATATATATATATATATATATATATATATATATATATATTATATATATATATATATATATATATATATGTATATGTGTGTGTGTGTGTGTGTGTGTGTGTGTATCCGCTTAATACCATCATTAACCACGCTGTATCAATTCCTCCTTGTCCTCCTCCTCATAAGCAATCCTTCGCAATTAGATTTATCCTCCTCCTCCTCCTCATATTCGTCATCCATAATTGTTCCTACTCGGGATAATCACCGACCTCATATTCCTTTCTCCTCCTCATATTTCATGTACGTTCTCTCCTCATACTCCTATCTCCCCTTCTTGCTCCCCCTGGCACCCTCTGCTTCTCCCTCCCCACCTCTCTGCTTCTCATATCTATCGTCCATTTCTCCTACTCCTCATCATACTCCCTATCTCACCTCCTTGTTTGTCCTCATATCTATCACCCATTCCCCTACTACTTTTTCTTCCTCCTCACCTCTCTGCTTCTCATATTCATCAACCATTCCCCTACATCTCCCTCTTCACCTCTCTGCTTCTTCACTCTTGCTTCTCTTCATATGTATTACCTATTCTTCTGATCATCAAATTTATCCCCCGTTCACCTGCTTCTTATTCCTTCCCCTCCTCACCTCCCTACCCCCTGCTTCACCTCCTATTCATCACCCGTTCACCTGCTCCTCCTTCTTCCCCCTCCTCACCTCCCTGCGTCTCTCTCCTCACGTCCCTGCTTCCCTTATTCATTCTCCATTCTCCTACTCTTTCCTCCAGCCCTTCTTAACTCCTCTGCTCCCCCTGACGTCCCTCTGTTCTCCCTCACCTCCTGTTCCCCTGCTTCATCCTCCTCAACTTCCTGCTTCTCCTCACCTCCCTGACCCCTGACGCCCCCTCTTTCTTCCTCCCAACTCCCTCCTCCCCTGACGTCCCTCTGTTCTCCCTCACTTCCTGCTCCCCCTGTCCTCCCTGCTTCTTCTCATCAACTCCCCTGCTTCTCCCTCACCTCCCTGCCCCCCCTGACGTCCCCCTGCTTCTTCCTCCTCACCTCCCTGTTCCCCCTGCTTCTCCCTCACCTCCCTGCTCCCCTGCTTCTTCCATCAACTCCCTGCTTCTCCCTCACCTCCTTGCTGCCCCTGACGTCCCCCTGCTGGAGGGCGAAGGCGGACAGCGTGTTGAAGGCCTTGACGACGTGGCTCTCCGGAAGGCACTCCTGCAGGCGCTCTGCCACGCTCTCGGGCCGACGGGGGCTGTCGGGGGATCTGCAGTGATGGAGAGATTAGTTGATTTATCTATTTTTTTTTTCCTGTAACTGTTTTTTTTTTCACGCGGCGTGGGGGTAAAACATGCACAAACCGACGCACAAACACCCACAAACGCACACATCCATTCGCACATGAACCTAATCCTCCGTTCCTGACACACCAGTGCCTATATTAGTCTTCGCTGACACTCCGACGCCTATCATAGTCTTCGCTGACACTCCGACGCTAATTCGAAGTCTTCGCTTCCGACGCCTACCATAGCCTTCGCTGACACCCCGACGCCTACCATAGCCTTCGCTGCCGACGCCTACCATATCGACGCTACCATTCGCTGACACCCCGACGCCTACCATAGCCTTCGCTGACACGACGCCTACCATAGCGCTGACACCCCGACCTACCATAGCCTTCGCTGACACCCCGACGCCTACCATAGCTTCGCTGACACCCGCGCCTACCATAGCCTTCGCTGCACCCCGACGCCTACATAGTCTTTGCTGACACTCCGAGCCTATCATAGTCTTTCTCTCCGACGCCTACCATAGTCTTTTGCTGACACTCCGACGACATTTCCTTACCATAGTCTTTGCTGACACTCCGACGCCTACCATAGCGAACACTCCGACGCCTATCATATTCTTCGCTGACACTCAGACGCCTCACCTGTTGCTGACGTCGACCACGATCTTCCCGGCGAGCAGGTGGCGAGGGAGGGAGTCGTGGTGTTCCGCAGGGATCGCCACTAGGACCACCTCCCCCTGCTCCAGCGCCTCCTTCAGCGTCGTCACTGTGATGGCGGCAATCTTCAGTCTCTGTCTGAGGAGAGGAAATGAATGGGCGAGGATGAGGATGAGGAAGGAGAAAATATCTGTTCATGAGTATAAGGAAGGAGAAAATAACATCTGTTCATGAGTATAGGAAGGAGATCTGTTCATCTGTTCATGAGTATGGAGAAAATAACATGAGCATAAGGAGAAAATAACATCTGTTCATGAGTATAAGGAAGCAGAAAATAACATCTGTTCATATCATCAGAATAACATCTGTTCTGAGTATCATCGAAAATAACATCTGTTCATGAGTATAAGGAGAAAATAACATCTGTTCATGAGTATGAGGAAGGATAAAATAACATCTGTTCTAATCTCAGTCTCTGTTTAAAGAAAGGAAAGAGGAAGAGGAAGATAAGGAAGGAGAAAGTAACATCTAATCGTAGTCTCTGTTTAAAGAGAGGAAAGGATAGAGGAGGAGGGAGATAATGGAGGGGTGAAAAAAGATAATAGTCTAGATCTCTGTTTCTTATCCTTTAGGGGCCCTTTTAAGGATCTACTGAAAGCTATGGCCCCCCCTTCCCCAGAAATATTTTTTGTAAACACGTCTTTACATGTCCAGATTGCACTTTATTGAGATTTGAATGTCTCGTGCAAATATGCGATACACAAAGTATTATTAGATTTAAAATGAACAGTTTAAAAAAACACATTAATATAAATGCTACTTTTACATGATTCAGAACCAGATTAAGAACCACTGGTCTATAGGAAGAATTGGAAAGGGGGGAACAAGAAACACGAAAGCGACTATGAAATGGTTATTCGTAATTTTATCTCTTGTGCCTTCTTGTGATGAATAAAATCAAGCAAATAGAGAACAGAAATTAATAATGGTGGTGGGCAATTAAACCACAGGTCAATCGGTCTCTCTCTCTCTCTCTTTAGTACCACAGGTCAATCGGTCTCTCTCTCTCTCTTCTCTCTCTCTTTCGTTCGTTCTCTCTTCTCTCTTCCTACCCCCTCTCTCTCTCTGCATAGCAAATACTTAAGCAGATCAAAGAGATTGTCGTTTGCTTTACCCTCTGGTCTCAAGGTTATTAACATAAGCCTTAATGTGGGGAATTCATGATGAACAGATTGCAACAGGAACAACGAAGGGAAGGGCAAGAGAACACACGAATATGGCATATTCGTGTGTTTTCTTGCCCTTCCCTTCGTTGTTCCTGTTTACAATAAGCCTTAATGTAGTTTGTACTTGAAAACTTCTAAATCCCTGAAATCTCTCAAGTATTCTTATATCACGTCTTTTGGCTTCTTGTGATTTGAATTAGTAATAAGGAAAAGTTGGAATTCTTTTGCTAGGCATTTTACGAAATTCATGTTAATTTCAAAGTTGTATTTCTGTTTCAACATCGTGAATGCTCCAGGATTGAGTACTACAGGAATTCAACTTATTAATTTATAATTTTTTTCAACATATATCTATTTATTTGTAAATTTGCTAATCTAAGATTTGTTTTTACTAATTTAAGATTTTTTTTTCAACATTTATCTATTTGTATCTTTAATCCAAAACGCATAATTGTCAACCAGCAGATCAGGAACATGGGAGCTTCTGAAACAATGAGGTTTGTGAAAATGAAACTAACCACAATGAGAATTGGCTAGTTTCATTTTCATTTTTGTGTTTGTGTTCAATGAGGATTGTCTTTCTGTTCTCTCATCTGATCTTTAAATCCTCTGACGAATCAGATTACATCCAACATCCATTGTCCCATATTTTGTGACATTAGTACCAAAGTTCCTACTTAATTCCAGATTTCAGTATTTCTGCTACAAATATGAACTTACCAAATTACGAACAAATTTACACTCACAGGATTTCACTCGATTTGTTGTGGAAAAAGTGTGCCTATATCTGATTGGCCACTTAAAGGAATTTCGTCTTGGCCACTTAAAGACCGTGATTTCTTGTGGAAAAAGTGTGCTGAACTCACCTCCTATGACTGGCGACTCGACCTTCCCCTTTTTATTTATTTATCTTTTCTCCATTGCTTGTGAGTCTAAACAAGGGATTCTTCTCACTGAAAGTCATTGTCTTATCAGAAGCTTCTCACAGATTCCCTTGACTCTTAAGTCCACCTCGGCGACAGTGAGACTCATCCTCCTTAAAAAAATCACTGGAAAAACATAGACTTTTACTAAAGGCTTTCACTTGAGACTTTTTTTTTACTTCAGAATTTTGCAATAGACTATCATTTCAGGCTTTTTTTCAGGCTTTACTTGAGACTTTACTTTCTTTTTACTTCAGAATTTTGCAATAGACTATCAATTCAGGCTTTTATTTGAGGCTTTTACTTGAGACTTTACTTGCTTGAGACTTTTACTTCAGACATTAACTTCAGAATTTTACTCGCGACCTAAACACCGTATTCCTAAACACATTCCTTTCTCTCAAGACTGGAAAATTCCCTGGGTCTGAAGTGTAGCCTGAATTCAATTCAATGAGAGAGAGAGAGAGAGAGAGAGAGAGAGAGAGAGAGAGAGAGAGAGAGAGAGAGAGAGAGAGAGAGAGAGAGAGAGAGAGAGAGAGAGAGAGATGAGAGAGAGGAGAGAGAGAGAGAGAGAGAGAGAGAGAGAGAGAGAGAGAGAGAGAGAGAGAGAGAAGAGAGAGAGAGAGAGAGA